CTCGCTCAGGATGTTCGCGGAGGAGTGGCGATGGCCNCGCGCCGCGCGCTCCTGCTTGAGCTTCGTGAAGGCCTCGAGCCACCGGTTCGGCTTCTCCGCGGCGGGCGCGGGCTTGGGCTCCCGCTTCGCCANAGCGTCGTCCGCGACGACGCGCGCGGCGCACGATACGGCGTCGACGAGGCCCCGGGCCCGCGCGCAGTCGAAGTCGTTGAAGGCGCCGACCTCGACGATGCGCGTCGTGCGCCGCTCGCCCTGGTCGCTCGCGCGGCCCGCGACGTGGAGCACCTCGCCCTCGCCGTCCTCCTTGCTGTGGTTGAAGAACTTGTTCGTGAAGAGCAGCACCCCCAGCTTCGTCCAGGGCTCGTCGTCGCAGGCCAGACCCGTCGACGCCACGCGGTCCACGGCGACGGGGACGGCGAGGATCGTCTTCGTGCGGTAGCCCGTGGCCAGATCGTCCGCGAGCGGCGGCGGGCACTCGTCGGAGTCGTAGACGTCGTCGACGCGGATCGTCTCCCAGTCCGACGCCGCCTCGCGCACGATGGACTCGGACCAGGCCGACGCGCGGTCGCCGTCGTCGATGGCCGCGTCGCCGACGACGTCGCGCCGCGACGCCGCGTCCCACGCGTAGACGAGGTCGCTGCCCGAGTATTTGTAGAAGCAGCAGCGGTCGACGCCCATCTCGACCTTGGCCACGGAGAGGACCGCGCCCAGCAGCCGGTCGAGGTGGAGCATCTTCGCGTCGACGTCGTCGTCGTCGATCGCGGCCTCGAGGGGCCGCGACGCGGCCGCGGCGGCCTTCCGGAACGCGGCGCGCCGCTCCGACTCGGGCGTGCGCCGGATCTGCCGCCGCGACGCGCCCGGCGACATGGGGTCCACGAATTCGACGTGGTCGTTGCGGTAGGCCTCGTGCGCGCCGTGGCCGTTGCCGTCGCTGCCGTCGAGCGAAAGCACGGGGTCGTCGCGGTCCGCCCACGGCGGCCGCGGGTACGCGCCGAAGTCGTCGCCGTAGGTCGCCGCGCTCCGCTTCAGCTTCTCGACGACCTTCTTCGCGCGCAGCTTCAGGCCCATGGCCGCCAGCGCGCCCGGGTCGTCCATGCCCAGCGGGAGCGGCCGCGGCCGCGCGGGCTGCCGCGCCGGCGGCGAGCTGCCCAGGTCGATGTGGCTGCTCGACCGCGTGCGGTCGCTCGACTTGCGCAGGCGCCGTTTCGCCTCCGACGCGGCGGCGTCCTCGTCCTTCGCCTCCGCGGGCGTCAGCGAGCTGCGCCGCTTCTCCTCGATCTTCTCGAGCAGCGTCTCGAGGCTGCCCATGCCCTCCGTGGACATCGCCCGCTTCGCCGACGCCGGCGACAGGATCTCCTTCATCTCCGCCTGCGCCGCGGCGTCGTCGGCGTCCGCGATCATCGCGCCGGAGGGCCGACCGCGCCTCGAGGGCGGTGGCGTCCGACTCAGAAAGAATTCCAAAAGGAGTGCTTAATATAAAAATACCAACGCAGGTTTAAGCAGGTTGTCCCAGTGGTTTCCTCGCGATTTCGGGCTGTTTTTGCCCCCGGGCGGCTGTCTGCGGCTGTCTGCGGCTGTTTCGGGGTCCGGGGCGGCTGCTTTGCGCTGGGGTCGGGGTCGCGGACCTCCCCTTCGGGTCTCGGGCTACTAGTTCGCGTCTTACCGGTCGGGGAGCGGTCGGCGCGCGCGCACGCCGCGGTCGGTGCGTCGGTCGGTCCCGGTCGGTCGTCGGTGGAGAACCTCTGGCTGCTGGAGCCACACGGGTTCAACGCGCGCGTAGCGGCCGGTGGCCTTCGCGCGGTGACAGAGTCGGAGCCCGATGTCGAGGACGTGGGGCGCGGCACGACTCGGTCGGTGGCGGCAGCCGCCGCGATGCCGTCGGCGCGCGCGGGCGACGAAGCCACGGGGATCGCTTCGGCCGCCGGACCGGGGTTCCGGACCGGTGTCAAGGCCCGCGGCGTGCGCGTGGGGCCCACGCGAGAGCGGCGGCGGGGCTGCCGACCGGCGCGCAGGGGCGGCGCGCAGGGGCTGCCGGGGCGGAGGCGCGAGACTGCGACCGCGGCTGTGCTGGCCCGTCTCAGCGCGAGAATTCGCGCATTTATTGACCGTAAATCGATCATTTCGATGACTTTTCCGAAAAAATTTGCCCTGCGGGGCCGAGGGGCTGTGGGACGAGGCCACGAGTAGTACGACGTCGTGTCCGTGTAGTCGTGTTGGCGTAGGGAGTTCGGCGCCACGTGCGCGCGCCCCGCGGCGCTGGCGGGGCGCGGCCGGGGCGCACGGCTTACGGGGGCACATGCCGCCCCACGGGGCAGCCGTCGGCGGGAATAACGCCGCGAGAGCGCTCCTGCAGGAATAACGCCGCGAGAGCGCTCCTGCAGCTAGTTGCCGACGGGCAGCCTACTGGATCGGGGGTTCATCATTGACCGGGGGCTGTTTGTGGTCATTGTGGCTGAGCGGCGGGCTGTTTGTTGACTTTTTGGCTGTTCGTTGCACCGTTTGTGGCGTTGACCTTTTGTCGTCGCCTCGGTACCCTGGCGGAAACAGTGATCAAACAGCCGGGGTTCCAAGGTAGGGGCGACAGTGAAAGTCGACCGGCGGTGGACCGTCGAGTTCGACCTTGCGGTCACTTGCGATGGATAGCCGACTTCTAACTGATACTTAGAGAGTCTGGGTTCGCGT